CCCCCCCTCCGATAAGAATTTAGTATAAAAACATGACGTGAGGCAAGGAGTGTTCCTCGAAATATCCTGTAAATCTCGAGAGAAAAAAACGCTTTATCGACATTTTTTTGAGTAGGACGGACCACTCCCCTTCAGCTACTCTCTAGCAGAGGCAAACAGAGCTGAGTAAATTGATGACTCATTATTTTACAAATATTTCTAAATTTTATGTGTTTACAGATTACTCAGATTTTGTTTGTTTACTGGATAATTTTCATTGTTCATATTGATTTCAGTTTTTTCATATTAAAATAACATTTTCAATATGAGATGGAACCCTTATAAAGTACAAAAAGAGATAATTTGCTGTACAGCTTTACAAGCACAAAAAGAGATAATTTGCTGCACAACTTTACAAGCACAAAAAGAGATAATTTGCTGCACAACTTTACAAGCACAAAAAGAGATAATTTGCTGCACAACTTTACAAGCACAAAAAGAGATAATTTGCTGCACAACTTTACAAGCACAAAAAGAGATAATTTGCTGCACAACTTTACAAGCACAAAAAGAGATAANTTTAAAATCAAAACAATGAATTTCAAAAAAAATTTTGGAGGCTAAGATGATATGAAAAAGGGTGGAGAATATTAATCCCTGGTTTAAATTTAGGAGTAGATCAGATATAGATATAGATGAGATGAGAGAGGTTTCTAAAACTACAAAATATCTCCGATATATCTTTACAGCTTAATCTTCTAAAATCTGAAGACAGGGGGGGTTTCTCTATACATCATATCAGTCATTTTTCAAATAAGATATCATTAAAAAGGTATTGAGTCTCTGTCACAAACTCAAATTTTCGAATCCCTATATCTGTGCAACCGAGTGGGTTAAATCTTTAATATTTCAAACTTAGAATATTTAATCTAACAGAATTCATAGTTTGATATATCTAAGGTTTACGAGATTGGATTGTAAAGATATCAGAATTAGAAAATCAGAGTTTGTAGCAAAAACTCAATTCCTTTGTTAGGTTTAGAATAATTGAAGCGAGGGAGGGGTAGATTATACCCCCCCCCCCCCCTCCTTACTAGATGTTATGATCTTTGTGAGTTATATCTATAGTAAATGTACATTTTTACAGTTGATCTTTTTTAATCAGTCAGTTCCCCTCCCCCCCTCAAAAAAACTTGTTCTGATGCCATTTAAAAAAATACTTGATGATTTTTTAACCCTCTTCCTATTTTTTTTGTATTGATACGGAATTTAATATTTTAATTCTACGTCAATTTAAAAAATAAGTTGTTCATTAATAACTTTGTTTTGTCTAACAAAAAAAATGAACAAATGTCATTGACGATATGTAAATATTTTAAAATTTGAAATTTAAAGTTTTAGTCAGAAAAAAGCCTTTGAAGCTAATTGATTTCGAATTATCTCGATCAAATCCCCGGCATGTTTTGACCCAATAGACATTGCGAATAGTTGAATTTAAATACATCCTCACCCGTCCTTGCAAAAAGAAGTCTATTTCAGAAATTTAGCGAATTTGGCCAACATTTGTAAAGTGGGGGAAATTCAAGGAAAAATACTTGAGATCGCAGATTGTATCAATTTAAAGGTTCAACTAATTTGAAACTTAAAGACATACAGAATGTCCTGATGAAATATTTGAATGCAGGGTAGGGTGTACACAAAAATAAAAATAAAAATTTTATTGTCAATCATATGTTTTGTTTTCTCCGCAGGGCATATTGACCTTGTGAGCTTAAACTGTGGAGAATGTTTGGGAGAGAATGTTGTAAACCCCAGAGTTGGCTGGACATCCGCAATTGCAGTTCAACAGCAATAGAAAATTGTGTAAGGATATAAACAGAGTAACTCAAGAAGAATGTAACTTATTTTAGAATTTCTTTCAAGATATGAATCTATTTGTCTTAATAATACATGACTGAAATATTATAGGTGGGTGAAAATTTAGGTTTTAAACGGAGAAATTTGATTTTCTAATCCCTATATGTGGTAATTTTAAAAAGAATTTTTCTATGAATTTTTTGAATATATATACTCAGTTTTCATCTATAAATCCAGACAGTTCTAAATTCCCTGAAGAACTTAGAAGCTGGAAAAGTTGAAATTGAAGTTTAAAAAAAAAATATTATTTTGAGAATTTAACTTTGAAATACTTCTTTTCTAAATTGAAAAACGGGACTAAACAATTTCTGAAATTGTTAAAAGATTTTGTATAAAGTGAAGGTATACCAAAATCAAGAAAACCATACTTGTTAATCAATAATACTCCGCGATATTTAAAATAAATATATAAAAAATGTAAAATAAAATAATTTGCCAAAAATAAACATAGGATAAAACGACGAAATCGTCATAAAAACAGTGTTACTTTCAGTATTTTTTCTTAGCTTAAAGGGAGTGTTCGCGAAAAATGAAAGGGGGTATAGGCTTAATGCGATAAAAAAGCTTTTTAGATCGCTACTAATCTTACCTCTATCTGTTGCGTCTATAAGGAGAAAATTGATAAAGACGTCTCATACCAAAGAGCGTAGCGCCCATACAAATTGAGGAAATTGGAACATACGACTTAGACCGTAAAAAAATCAAATTAATATCAAACAAATCATTCAGATATTACAACCTATAGTCATCGATTATCTTTCGCCACATTTATATATATTTGATATTTCATACTAGTTTTGATTTTGTTTTTTAAAAATAATATTCAGCTTCTAACTTGTTTTCGAACATTCCTGGAAAATATGAAAATGTCGTCTTCATTACCAAAAATCCTCGAAACAGGAATAAATGTTTTTATAAGTAACTCTCAGATCATAACAATTAAAACATATTATGAAAAATCAACTATATATAAATGTGGCGAAAGATAATCGATGACTATAGGTTGTAATATCTGAATGATTTGTTTGAAATTAAATTAATTTTTTTACGGTCTAAGTCATATGTTGCAATTTTCTCAATTTGTATGGACGCCATGTTATTCGGTATGAGACGTCTTTAACAATTTTCTCCTTATAGACGCAACAGATAGAAGTAAGATTAGTAGCGATCAAAAGCGCTTTTTTATCGCATTAAGCCTATACCCCCTTTCATTTTTCGCGAACACTCCCTTTAAACCTCAGTCATTATATTGTATAAAACAACATGTTAGAATTATTCTTCCAAAGTGTGAGTTTTAGTTTGCAAATGTTACTTTTAATACAATGTAACCAAACAACACAAAATAAGTGTTTTTTTTGCTCGATTGGCGTGACAAACATGATTTAAGTCCCACCCCACCCCTCCACACTCTTTATTAAAAACTCAAAAAATGAAATTAAGGAAAAAAAGTTGCCTAAGAAACGATCTTTTAAATTGTTATTTTTAAAGTAAAAAACTTCATTATAAAGAATTAACAGTCGCCTAATTTGCATCTCTTAATCGTCTAAAACTCAAAATGTGAAATTAAGGACAAAAAGTCGTTCAAAAAACGATTATTTGCCGCATTTAAACAATTATAAATAATTGTTTGGAAGTAGAAAAAACTCAATTTTTGACGACTGAAAATCGCCAAATAAGCGATTTAAATCGTCTATTTTCATGGAGGTTTATTGATCAGCTGATGGGTTAGGTTGCAATTACTCATTCTCAGTCCTTATTTCACAATTAATGAGTTACATATGCTCAGTATGTTCAGTTCTAATTGGGACAAATTGTGATATATGTGAATGTTTAAAAAAAACAAATGCTGTTACAGTTATTAGAGGAAAATCAAGATTTGAAGTTTAAAAATTTGTTCTATTTTGCAAATTATTTGTAAAACGTTTCAAACAGTTCAAACACACCTTCAAATCAAACATAAAATCAACATTCTGTCAAGGGGGGGGGGAAGGGGCTTATCCTGAACCCTACTAAATTGATTTCACAAAAAAAAAAAACTTTTCAACGAATTTTTCAATATTTTTGGCTCCATAGAAATAAGATTTCGAAATTAAGCTTTCTTTTACTTAAATTGATTTTTCTGATCCTGAAGCATTGTTGCCGATATTGTGTGTAGAAATTAAGCAAGACAAATTCCGGGTTGTGCGCTGCGGCTACTTGACATGTAGATTTATAGGGGGGACAACCCTTGATCGTTTGAAATTATACACAAGTTCTTTATTAACAATCATTTCAGTTGTTCTGTTTAAAATCAGCGATTTTTTGTCGCTTATTTCGAAGCTATAAAGTTCTGCTGCAAAATAAGCGATTTTTTGTTGAAAATAAGCGATTTTTAGCTGATTATTTAGTAGCAATGAAGTTCTGCTACAAAAAATGCGATTTTTTGTTGAAAATAAGCGATTGTTTTGTCGACTATCAGCGATTATTTGTCTTACATGTTAAAAGATTTTGTATCGCCTAATCGGGTGCCATCCAACTTTTACATCCGATTAGGCGACTTTTTATCGCTTATTTGAATTTTTAAATTTTGAGTGCCTCAAACCACATCTGAATTTAATTTTAATACTGCTAATTTTAGAGAGAAACAATGGTGGATATGAAATAAAGAAACCAAGATGGGAATTCAAGTGAATGCATAGAATACAATGCAGTGATTAACCCAACCAAGTACAACTATTCAACACTGACCAATATTTACTGAAGTGGTTGGGGCTTATATACTTCTCATGCTACATTTGGTTTTCATTGTTCAATACTTATTCAGGAACATTTTACAAGGTGGATTTGAGGAACTTTAAAAATTCATGTGAAATTTTGTGAAACTAACCTGAAAGTTTAAAAAAATAACCCCCCCCCCCCATTAAAGAATCTTTAGTGAACTTTAGACATTTTATAATAAATACTTTTCATATATTTTAGTACTCCCTGTAGTGAGGTGTAGTTGTGAATTTATGAAGACAAATGAATGTTTTCTGGGTAACATACCTAAAATGAAAAATATTTTATATTGATTCACCTTTTTCTAAAATTACTTATTTTTTAAATCAATTGGTTAGAAGAGGGAGAAGGGACGTAATTAAGTGAATTAGCAGAGAAAACTAATTTCTTGGAAACATTATTTTCTATTTCTATCTTTTTTTAAATTTGGATCAAATTCTGAGAAAGGAAAAAGTAAAGAAGAAATAATTTTCTATAATTTCTTTATATATAGAAAAATTATTATTTGAGGCTTTAATATCTACTAAGCTTAGGATCCGGATCTGGATCCGTTGGATCTGCAAGATTTTGGCTTCCTGGATCCGGATCCGGATCCGCAAAAATATGCGGATCCACGGATCCGGATCCATGGGGTTAAATATCAACCAAAAACTGCAAAAAAAAACTTTTTACTCCTAAAACCCAAATCTGAACTTTTGAAATAGAGAGATTATAAAAAAGTCCTCATTTCTGAATGGTTCATCGAGTCTTAGGATAAAAATATGCGAAAAAACTCAAACAAAAGATTTGAAAATTATTTTTTGTTAAAAAATTCATTAAATCAGTATAGAAATGACCTGGATCCAGATCCATTTTTTTCCAGTGCGGATCCAGGATCCGGATCCGCATCAAAATTAAATGGATCTTAAGCAGTGCTTTTTTATTTTCATTTTGATTATTATGTAAAAAAAAACAATAATTTATTTCGCAATTTTTTTAAAGAAAAGTTGAATATATTTTATAACATATATATCTATATTTTTTCCGGTTTGTTATGTTTACATAACATAAACGCTAAACTTTGTAAAGATAAAGAAGTATTACATTTAGGGAAAAAATCAATGTCGGAGGGGAGGGTGANGAGATGGGAAAGGGGGGGGGATTCAGAGAAAGATTTCCTCGAATCTTTTATGAAAACCGGGGAATATTGATTTGATAGAAATTTTTCTACGAATTTACAAGTTTTGCCCCACCGAGCCAAGTAGAGCTGTTGGATAAAGGTTGAATTGAAATAAACTACAGTTCGGACAGCTTTTGTTAAAAAGTAACATTTTTCTTTGACAACCTACAGCTTATACCAAAGTCATGAAATACACTTAAAATATTTTTTTTACAAAATTTGGTTGAAGGTTCTGATTTGAATGATAAAAAAATGTTTTAGGGACACACTGTACTGGAAATAGACATGAATGAAAGGGACTGTTCAGACAATTTGACAAAGTAAAGTTTTTATTTTTTTTCGAAAAATAATGTTTAAACATATTTCCCAACAAATGGTATCTTTGAGACAAAGTTTGTATAATACCAATTTTATTCGGAAAAAAGAAAAAATTGTAAACAATCTTTTCAAGTATATACTATGCAAGCAAACTTCAGTCCGCGTTCCTTGAATTGATTGAAGTCAAGGAAAATTGTAAACTTGAGCATCAGAGTTTAGATTTGTGAATTTTATATGTTTTTAATAAGATTTAAAGTTAATAAGATTTTAATGCAATTTTGAAGTTGTCTCCCAAAGTATAGTTTTTCCACCATGAAATAACTTTGCATAAAAAAGTCTATTATTTTAGTCCATTTTAGAAAATCATTTTTCATTTTTTCATCCTCATTTTTACTTAGCAGAGAAGTACAATATTCTTTATCTTAAAGTCATAAACCCCCCCCCCCACACTACCCCCTGGCCTCATCCACTTTTTCAGAAAAAACGTTAGGTAAAAAGTAAAGAATTTATAAACCCAGAAAATGCGCTTAAGAAAGTTTTAAAAAAAAAATTGTGAATGTTAACTGTAATATTGTGTATTATGTGTAACTATGAATTAAATTATAAAAAATTCATGAAATTAAACCAATTATTATTTCTTTAATAATTTAAACTTGTCGAATCCATATCCATTCGGAGTCTAACTAGTCTACTAGTCCACGCTCAATATTTTTACAAAATTTAATATTTATTAAACTTTTATTACCCCCGCATACATGGCATAAAACTTAAACTTTAAGCTAAATGCAAAAATAAACTCAAACATGTAACATTTATTAACCATAAATAAGAAATAATTAGACACAGAAAAAGTCGTAAATCTATATTTTTCTACATAAAAGTATCTGCAAAAATATTGCATGCTAAATGAATGAAAAACGCCATTGGGGATTTTAGATTTTTTGGATTCTTTATGGTTTAATCGATTCTCAACTTTTGCCTCAATTTTATTTGTAACCAGAGTCAGCCGAAATGAATTGATTCCTCGACACAGACTCCAATTATCTTATCCTTATATCTTTGCAACCTGTTGATGTAAACCTTGGACAATTCAAACTTGGCTTATTTGATTTAACATAATTGTATAGTTTGAAATATCTACGGTATACGACATTGGGTTACCAAGATATAGGGTTTAAAAAATCAGAGTTTGTGGCAAAGACTCAATTCCTTTCGGATTTTTTACAATGCAGTTACTTTTTTATTAATATTAAGAGATAGAATGAACTAACAATTATTTTTTGATTTATTTTTATCCTACTACAGTTACATCCTACTACTATTTATCCTACTACATTACTACAGTTCAGATACTTTGAAGATATGTGAAGAATTAGTGAAAATGTATTATTGCATCTAGTTTTACATTTAAACCTCTCGATTCAGAGAGATTTAAAACTTTGAAAAGGTTTACATTCTTTTGTAGGAGGGGGGGGGTGGGGGGATA